TCACGTGTCCAATGACCTGAGGAGTTTTTTTATGAGGTCAAGAATTTATCAGTGGCTGTCAGGATATACAGCTAGAAAAATTAAAACAAGCGAATAAAATTGTCTTGTGCGTAATTTGTCAAAAAAAATGGGACATTGATTCAGAAACAACTTCCTGGTACATAGATATATAGTTATAGGTCGGAGAAATAATATTTATCTCAGGGCTGTGACAAATCCAGGTATCTCATTTTTTTAGTTATAGGCATATAAAGAAAACTTATAAGTTTTATAAAGAGATTCCGTCGTCTTTTCTTAAATAACAATTATTAACAATTTATTATAAAAAAATGCCATTTTTTAGATTTTTGGCTTACCATTAAAACGCTTAATATTTGAATTAAACTTACAAAACTTTATCTTTTAAAACATAAAAAAGCATTAAAATGGCGAATGCTAAAAGTAGTAAAATGTATTTGTTGCTTCTAAAACTGCCAAATAAGGCAAAATCATTAATAGTTTATAACTATTGTAACAAGTCAACCGAGAGATTTGTTATTGCACCCAAAGTTGTGTATTGTGATCCCAAAAATTCGGTGGGTCCATCAATCCATCAATGCCATATTATGGCTCATCAACTGTTTCGAGTTCGTGTACTGTCTCACATATACAAAAAGAAACCAGATTCTACACTTTGAAATATTTACGATTTAAGCCAAACTGCTTTATTAAAATGTTGATATTAAGAAAGATACAGGGTGTTAAAGTGGAAATTTAAAATTTTAATTTTTGCTGCAACTTTCATGTTTGTGAATATTGATGTATTAAAAGTACCCAGTACAGTTTTAATAAAGTTAATAGTTAACGAAATATTAAATAAAATAAATATATGAGCAGGATAGTTAATAGTAGGATTTGACAAAATAACAGAATAATTGGATTTTAAATAAATCATTGTACGTTTTGTATTAAGGCTGTTTTAGCAGTCAAAACACACTGCGATCTGAAATGGGCGTATCAGTTACTTTTCCTCACTGCTTACGCCAGCCGACGACGGGTACAGCTTTTTTCGCAGTGGCGCCGGCCGGCGGGTGGTTTAATGACAACAAATGCATTATTCTCCATTCAAATTACTTTTGTCGGGAATACCTTTTTTGTTTGATTATCGTAGATGTTTTAAAAACAATTATCACATTTTTAATTTATATGTCTTAGCTAAATATAGTATTGAATATACATTTGTGAAACGTGACTGCAAAAAACATCATGGTGTTTAGTTATAATAAATAACTTATAATTTATAATAAATAAATAAATAAATGTTTATTTCAAATAACATAAAAATATTATTATCAAAAAAAAATACAATTTGTTGTCACAAACAAATAAACAATTTCGCAGTTATAGGTTGAAATTGATTTCAAATCAAACTATCTGACCGTACGTTCATGAGATTTGACGTCACGCAGCCGATAACGGTGAAACTAAATGCCAATGATGAGTAACACGTTTCACTATTAGATTTCAGTATTTTTTAGCAATTTTCTTCAAAGTTTGAACACGCTTTTCTCGATTATTACTGGACATAGAAAGGTGAAAAAAAAACCAACGATTACAGAAAAAAAAACTCTTTCAAGTGATGGGCGTAAAAAGTTTGGTTATAATAGAACGTTAAACTGTATAATCCAATATTTCAAAAGAACTTTCAAAAAAATTAAAAAAGTAAAACCATCAGTTTAAAGGCAACATAATTTTGAATAACGTGTCCAAATTTCGAGATATTTTGTCGGTAAATAACAGAGAAAACACTGTATCTAGGTTTTGGTGTACCGATAAAACAGCCTTAAATTAAATTCATAATCAAAATATTTTATAAACGGATCTGAGGGTTGGCTGAGCAAGTAGAAGCTGCGGCATAAGATCAACTACGGGAAAATCAACGGAGAGGATGGCGATGTTAACAAAAACGTAACGGATGATTGGCTAGAAAACGTGTGGTCTGGACTGAAGGCACGATATGCGTCAGACCGAACTTTAATATTTTAATCGGAAAAGTGCTTTGGTGGAAAGCTCTCTAAGGAACGCATTGCAGTTTAAGTGGCCGCTAACATGACAGGTTCGGTTAAGCGATAATTGTTAGTGATAAGGAAGTCGAAAAACCTACGTTGCTTTAAAAACATAAAAAATCTACCGATGACCTATAAAGCAAGCAAAAGTGCGTGGATGACTTCGGAAATTTTTGAAGAAGCGATAAGAAAGTGGTATATCGAGCTTAAACGGAAAAAAGTCGTCTTTCTGCTTGTAGAAAATTGTCCTGCTCATCCTGTAGTGTGCGACCTTCAAACCATTTAACTTTGTTTTCTGCCAGCAAGTGTCCTTCAGCCCATGGAGCAAAGTGTCATCAAGAGTTTGAAAAGCCATTACAGGAGAAGATTTTTAATGGAATTGGTTGAGAACAATGGCGATCTTAAACTAAACATTCTTGACGCCATCCTAATAATAAGTAAATCCTGGGACGAGGTGACGAGCAATACATTAAAACATTCCTTTAAACACGCAGGATGGCTGGAAGAACAAGGATTAACTGATGATGAAGATGACCTGCCTTGAGATGTTTGGGCCAGACAGTTTAAACTTACTATCACCTACGGACCGGAAGAGCTGACAGATTTTGAAGAAGTTGGTGAAAATGTAGCTACAACATCTGGACTTTCTGACGAGGACATCCTACAAGCAGTTCGTGTAGAAGAAGAAGAAAACAGTAACCTGGAAGTGGAAGCAGAGCCAGAACCTCCGACCTCTCAGCAGGCATTGGATGCGGCAAAAGTACTGCATCGATTCTTTATCCAACAGGAAGACGATATGAGTGCTGCGGAAGATTCTATGCGTCTTCAGGACAGGGTCAGGTCAGTTCTGTGAAAAGGGAAAAGGAAACAGACCAAGGTGACAGACTTTTTTGGTAATGTAGGCTAAATATATTTTAAAGTAGCATATTATTTTGTTGAAAAAGTTAAAAATTTAATTGGTGGTTCTCAGACTACCGATGCATGGAGAACTATCACTAATCTAAAGAAAAATACCCATAAATCCTTAAGCAACTTAATTCCTATAGAAAAGTGGGAAAATCACTATAAAAATTTACTCCAAGAGTCCAGATTGGAATATATCGGAGAGGAATACAGTATGGAAAGACAAACAAATAGTAACATTAATACTACTAACAACGAGGTCCGTACTGCGTTAATTAACATGAAAAACGGGCGATCTCTAGGACCTGGCAATATAGCTGTAGAGTTACTTAAAGCAGGAGGTCCACTCCTAATAGACCGAATAAGTTTTCTAATGAACAATGCTGCCAACAAATTAAAGTACCATCTGAATGGAAAACCGCTCACCAAGTGTCCATCTTTAAAAAGGGTAATCGAAAAGATCCTAACTGCTACAAAGGATTAAGTGTCCTACCTACTTTCGGGAGATTTTTTGGAAAGATAATAAATTGAAAAAGACAAGATGATGTAGGATATCTAATTAGCGAAGACCAAAGTGGATTTACGCCTGGTAGATCTTGCACTGATAACTTATTTATACTCCAACAATTAATAGAAAAAAGAATAGCGGTTGGTACCGAAGTAAATCTAGTTTTCATCGACCTAGAAAAGGTGTATAATACAGTTCCAACACTTAAATTGTGGTAAGCTTTACAGCAACTCGACATTAGTTCGTACCTTTTAGGAATAATCACAGCAGTATACATGGATAACACTATTTACCTAAAAATCGGAAATAGATTATCAGAGCCAATAAAAGTAACTAAAGGACTAAGACAAGGATGTAGTATGTCATCCTTACTGTTTAATTTATATATTGAGGCAGGCCTCCAAAATTGGAGAGACCACTGCCAGGGAATGGAAATCCCCATAGGAAATGACATACATGAACCTTGCGGATGACCAAGTCGTCCTAGCTTAAGATTCTTATGATCTAGAATTTATGATAAAGCGTCTATAGAGAGACTATGTAAAATGGGGGTTACAAGTTAGCATGAAGAAAACAGAATATTTAGTTACCAATTCAGATGCAAGGTTTGAAGTGTAGATAGACAAGGACGTGGAAATCAAACAAGTGGAAAAATTTAAATATTTAGGTGCACTTATTGGTATGAACCGCTTGGGAGAAACCGAAATTAAACACCGAATTAATCAAGGACGTAAAATTGTAGGATGTCTGAACTCCTTATGGTGAGATCGCAACATTTCCAAAAGAAACAAAAAAAGAACTGGGCAAACCACGACTGATGGTGCCTGACGAACTTGGCCCCAAAAACTTCACAGATGGAAGAACCCTGGAAGAAGAAGACGCTCATGGAATGAAGGAATTAGAAGAGCGATGGAATCGAGAGGTTTGGAGGAGGAGCATGCTTTGGACCGGGAGGACTGGCGGAGGAGAACAGGAATACGGCGATAGCCGTCTCCAAAATGTATTGTATTTACAAGTTGGATCCTGTAATATAGTTTTTAATAATGATGAAGCTAACAAACAATTAGCAAAATATAGATATGTTAAGAAAAAAAAGGAGATTTATTTACAAATATACGACAGTCCGCATACCTGCTAATTCACTACAAATATATGTATATATATATATATATATATATATATATATATATATATATATATATATATATATATATATATATATATATATACATAATAATTTTAAAATATGTTATTCTAAAAATACCATATAAAATCAATAAAAAAAATTAATATCTAACAATAGTTCTACTGTAACAAGCACAAAATTTTCCATGACCAAAAATTATTACAGGCGATAAAAGTTATCGGCATAGAAAATAAAATTGCTCATAATTCGATACGGCAATGAAAGTGACTAACAACAATGTAATGTTAAGTGCCAAAAGTCTATTAATATAAATGAAGCAAAACAAAGACAATAAAACAAAAACAACAGGTAATATGTATCACAAACGTTATCCCAAAGATTACAAAGCGCATCTTACCTCATCATTGTTGCTCCTTTTGTAAGAATAAATCGCCTGCACCACCAAAAGTTCATTGGCCATGATTTTCTCCAGATTCCATTAAAAAACAAACACGCTGAAAGTAAAAGAAACAAAACACTAGTTAAACTGCCGTCGATATTTAGTACATTAGGAATTGCCGAGAATAAGAACGTTATTGGTGCGAATATTAGTTAAAGATTATGGTCATGATTTGGGTGAAAAATAATTTTTGAATACTGTCACATTCTTGGCAAGCCCGTAGGTTGAATTCTAAATTTGGATTTGAGCCAAAAATATAACGCATTATGTTTGTCTTGAATCAATGTGGCACATTTCGATTTTAGGAGCTCGCGGCACTGAGAGATTCGTCCGGCGAGGATTTATATATTTTTTCTAATGAGAAAATGCTTGTTAGCGCATTAATGGACAGTTGAATATAACGAAGTACACTGCTGGGTAAAAAACTGGACACTTGACTCCGTTTTAATTACTTGTTAATAATATTTATTAAGCCTTCGGAGATCGAGGTGTACTGTATATTCGTTTAACTTTAATGTTTCAATAAGATTGAAAAAAAAACTGATCGAGATCGGAAGAAACTTTTATTTTGAACATAACTAATCAAAAAATAAGCGGATTTAAATTGATTTATTGTTAAGAGAAAATAAAATAAATGCAGTATTAAGAACATAAAATAAAAACATGTAATAACTACTATTATTGTTACTAATCTAAGGCAAAAATAACCCAAACACATAATTAGATTTAGCTAAACTTAATCAGATTCATCAGCTGAAGGATTAGTAAAACGGTTATAACAACTGCTGCAAACAATATTGCTATACTCAAGACATAAAAATGTGGTACAACATTTACAATAGTATTTGGACAAATTCGTCGTCTTTGTCGCATAGGAAGAAGAACACCTTTTTCTTTTATTGCCCGTTTTAGAAACATCTGGATCTGCCCCACTGGTTGAACTTATGTTTCTGAAGCTGAAGCTGCAATGGTCTATGAATACCTGTAGTAATATCCGATCGCCGTTTTATTTGCTCTGACGACAACTGACTTGAAAGGTTTCGAATGAAGAATCTACTTCGTATTTTTGAATTCTGATTTAGCATGTGCGTTGATCCCAGTAACGTTCAAGACGACGTAAAATATCACCATAGGCCACCTTCTGCTGTTTCTAGCTACATTATACGAACCCGGGTGTCAACCTCTGATTGTAATAATTGATTATCTCTGGCTTGTGCGTATCTGAATTTACTACGTCATCGAAGTACAATCTTCACTAAAAGCAAAAAAGTTAGATTGCATTGGCCTGTTTGCCGTACTCACTAATTTAGGGGTTAGTTGACGTTTGTTTCTTCTGACTGTCCCTAATAGTCTGTTCTTTTTCAAATCGCTAACGAGTGTTAGATCGGAGAACCAATTATCAGCAGTGATATTTCGTCCTGAATCATAGATAGGTTCAGCTAATCTCTTGACCACATCTACCGGTTTATTGCTGACACGAAATGGACCTTCACGCTGCAGTCCTATATAAATTTCCATATTGCCTGTGTAAAATAGCTTAGAATCAACCATGGAAAAAATTTTAATCCCATGTCTTAGGTTTTGATGGGATATATTGCCTAAATCCACATCTGCCCCGAAAGCTTGCCAACACCTCGTCTATAGTTACGTTTTGTCCCATAGAGTATCCTTTTTTTAATTTTCTACAAATGTCCTCTCTCTCTACAAAAATACTCTCGAAAGTGCTCTACCCATCATAAAAGGATATCCTCTTTGTTGGTAAGTAAGTTACCTTCCTTATCCTTACAATAGTTGATTCTAGGTTTGAATTCTTTTCTAATAATATTTATTTGATGATAGAACTTTCTTGTTTCTCCGTGACTCATATGGCTTTCGAGACGTTCTAATATGTCATTTTCCGAGTCTCGTTTCTTTTTTCGGTGTATGCGTTTTTCCTCTCTCCTTAAGTTGTATCTATCTATTGTTGTTCTAGTTTTTCGTTGTTGCATGGTTCCTAAATGCCTCGTTCTTCTCATCTGTTATTTTTTTGCAGTCTTGGTCAAACCAGTCGTTTCTTTCTTGGGTTCGGGATATTCCCAATGTGCTTTCGGTTGCTAATTTCAGAGCCTACTTGCAGTTGTCCCTCATTTCCGTGCTTGACTGGTCGACTGCGCAGGTGTGTTCTAGGATTTCTTTTATATGTGACTGGAACTGTTTCTCTTTGTTTTCATTTTTTAGGATATGTAAATTATATTTTACTTGTCTAGTGCCCCTTTCTTTCTTGGCATTGGAAATTCTTTGTCGTAACTTGGCCCCTACCATGAAATGGTCTGAGTCAATATTTGCGCCTCTATAACTTCTTACATCCATTTGGTTTGTAAAGTGCCTTCTGTCAATTATAACATGGTCAATTTGATTTGTGGTGTGTCCATTTGGTGATATCCAAGTTGCTTTATGGATATTAAAAAAAAAATTAGTATGAATTGTTTTTAATAAATTTCATTTTATTTTATGCTAAGGAAGAGCCACTTTTAACATTACAACAAAATAAAAATAGACTAAGATAGTCAAACGAGCATAAGGATTGGACTCAGTCACAATGGGATTCAATACAATGGAGTGATGAGTATAGATTTGAAGTGTGTGTTGGAGACAGTAGAAGTCGTGTCATTCTCAGGAAAAATGAAGTTTTCCATCCTGACTGTCTGAAGAGAAAAGTCAAATTTCCTGCATCTGTCATGATCTGGGGCAGCATGTTCTCTACAGGTGTGGGAAAGTTACATTTTACCGATGGAATTGTACTGATTGTATTGATTTGAACACAGACAAATATTTGAATGTTTTAGAAGAATCTCTTTTACCGATTATGGAACACTATTTAACATCAGTGGAAGACTTTGTCTTCCAACAGGATGGAGCAGGTTGTCATACCTCAAAAATGAGTTTAAAATGAATTGACTGGAATGGGTTTCTAACAGTCCCGACTTGTCCCTGATAGAGACTTTGTAGTGTGAAATGATAAAAGCTTTGAGAAAACATCATGCCAGGTCTGTCAATAAATTGAAGGAAAAATTACAAGAAATATGGGATTTTGTTTATATTAGAATTTTGTCAGAAATTGGTATAAATTATACCTCGAAGAATAGTGGATGTCATTAAAAAAAAAAGGGGATGTAACTCAGTGGTAAACTTTCACATTTTTTTTTAATATTACATGGACGTAGTTAAGCAGAAAACGTCCAACCCACAAATTGTTAAAAATGAGTTCTTTACACCAGCGAGCATATAATTTCTTGCTTTATAATATGCAGAAACCGTCCAAGTGAAAACATTACATACTCTTTTAATAATCGTCAAAGTTCTAACCCACAAACTAGGTTAACTGAGATTTTCATTGATAATAAAAAATCCAAGTGGGTTGAATTTTTTCTAAAAAATGTATGTCGATCTAAGTAATCGTGTTAAAAGAGTGGTTAAAACAGGCTAAGTGGGTTGGATCACTTTAACGCTCCATGCGATAACAAAACTACTGTGCATTTTTTTGTGTTAAAAACATCCAAGTGAATTGGATGTTTTCTACTTATAAATTTCGGTATACTTGTTAAAAATAAGAGTATAATCAGAAATCGTCCAAACCACTTGGTATCATTTTACGTTTACTATTTCATTAATATGTTAAAAGTAGTTTGAATCTTCGATTTCGGTCGATAATAAAATTTTATTACGGGAATGTGCCCTATTAATGTTTAAAACGTGCCTTGTGCGTATAAACCCTGGAACTTGGTCGATAAAAATTAATTTATTATAGGTACTCATCTTAAGCATAGTAATCACTTTCCTTTAGTTTTAAGTAAATGTGCCTATGTATTGATAAACATTTCTTTTTATTCAGTTGTGTCTGATTTTTCTGACTGTTCGGGTTTAAAAATACTTATTTAATAATAATTATGTCGAAAAGAAGCAAATACATGTGTGAGCTAGCAAAACTTATGGAAAACCAAACAAATAGTGTAATGTCTAGCGTGGAATTTGATTCAAATATTACCAATGTTGAGGTAAGTCGGAAATTTTTTATTAAAAAATAACTATATGTTGTTTACTGATTATTTTTTCGTGGTTTTCGGCCAGATTGAAGAAATAACACAAAACTCTCTTTTTTTTTACGACGTTTCAATTTATTTTGTTACTAAATCTTAAAAAAAAAATAAAGAAAATAGAAGAAAATAGAGTTTTGTGGTATTTCTTTAATCTGGCCGAAAATCACGAAAAAATAATCAGTTTATAAGACACGGCTTCTAAAAGTTTATGTTGTTTACTAAATTTTTAAAATAAATGCATTTTATACATCATTACATAATTTAAATATATTGTAGAATATGGATGATACCAATGTGACAGAATTCTACCGTCACAGCGAACCATCGTCATCCAATAGTCGTATTCGTGAAATGGTTTTAAACGAGAAAACTGGATGTTTTGAATCAGCTTCTACCATAGATTCTGTTGATGATTATGATGTAAGTATTAAATCTTTGTACCTATACTGTTTAGTAAAATGCTTTATAATGCTATTCGCTATATTATTTCTATTTAATGAAAACTAAACTTTGATGTACCTATTGTTACAATCTAAAAGAAAAAATACAACTTCCTTAGGTACACACAATTTTGTAAACACATATGTATTAATCTTATTATACCAATGTTAAATTGATACCTATTATTATGATCATCAATTATTATTGATTAAAGTAATTATACAATAATGTAAAGCATATGAAAATTATTTTTCGATGAGTACCTATAGTAAACTTTATGAAAAAGATTAATTTGAATGAATTGAATTTGTTTTATTTTTTGGTACCTGGTAATTGATTAAAAGTTAACTTCTTTAATTAAAATAGACGCTTTCTATAATTTTTTGAAATTTTTATTTAAAATATTATCTAATAATACCTACCTTTTTATTCTTACAGAATATGTCAATAAGTGATGTCTTTAGTAGCGGTTCCTCTGATATGTTTATACCATCGTCACATGAAGAGAGTTCCGATAACAATGAAAGTTGTGATGATAATCCATTTTTAGCCAGTACATCAGGTCGTCCAAAGAAGGGTAGAAAAAAGAAATTTGCAATGACGCGAGCAACATCAAAGATTAATAGGAACAAAAATGAATCTTACATTGACTACAAAGGAAAATTGAAAGCTGCTAAAGAATTTCAATATGACTACAATTGTAACTGCCCGATGAAATGTTCTGAGTTGATTTCTACAGAGTCACGAAAACAAGAATTTGATCGTTTTTGGAGTCTTGGGTCTTATAATGCCCAAACTATCTTTATTGCCAATAATATCCACGAAATGCCGAAAAAAAGAATGTATGGAAGAAACACTGAAAGACGTCTGTATTCCAGACAATATTCCTTACTTAATCAGCGTATTTGTAGGCAAATGTTTATCAATAGTCTTAGAATAACTCCGTCAAGAGTAACAACAGCTCTGAGAAAGGTAAACAATCGTGCTCCAATTCTTGATCAAAGAGGTAGAAAACAAGGTGGTTTAAACAAAGTCCCTGAAAATAAAATTCAGGAAATAATCAACCAGATCAATAAACTGCCTAAGTACATATCGCACTACTGTCGTGAAAACACGTCTGCATTATTTTTACCGGCACATCTCTCATTATTAAAGATTTATGATCTATACAAATCTGAAGTTCAAAACCCTGTGAAATTTGGTATTTATAAGAGGATTTTTTACGAAAAATTTAATTTGAGATTTAATGTTCCCAAGAAGGACACATGCCAGGTATGTGATTCATTTAAAATAAAACTAGAAAATGAAACGGATGATCATAAAAAGCAACTTTTACAAATTGAACTCGACACTCATCAGGATTTGGCCCAAAAATCACGAGAAACATTAAAGGCAGATTTAAAACGAGCTAAAGATGAGGATAATGTAGAGTGTTTAACATACGATCTTCAAAAAACTCTACCTTTACCCAAAATTCCAACCAATGTAATATATTATAAGAGGCAAGTTTGCTTGTATAATCTCGGTGTATTTTCAGGCAAACGTAATAAGAGTTATTCCTATGTATGGCTTGAAGGAACTGCTGGAAGAGGAGCTCAGGAGGTTGGTTCCTGTATTGTAAAATATTTAGAAAACATAGAAAGTACTGTTGAACATCTTATATTGTGGTCTGATTCTTGTGGAGGCCAGAACCGTAATATTAAAATAACACTCCTCATGGCCAGTCTTCTTCAAACCAGCCATAATATAAAAACTATAACATTTAAATTCCTGATTTCCGGCCATAGTTTTCTACCAAATGATAAAGATTTTGGGGATATAGAATGTCAACTCAAACGTCAAGAACGAATATATACACCTTTAGACTATATAAATATAATAAATTCATGTCGTAAAAAGTCTCCAATAACAGCTACACAAATGAAAAAGGAATGGTTTTTGAGTACCCACCAGCTCGAGAAGGCCACAATAAACAGAAAAGTTGGCACCAATAAAGAAAAAATAAATTGGTTGGAGACAAAACAAATTATATTAACAAAAGAAAATCCTTACCACATCTTTATGAAACCTAGTTATTTTGGCGATGAAAGTGTATGTTTGGATATTGAGCGACGAGGACGATTAAATACAGAGAGCTTTTCGGCGCTGCTTATGCAACTCTGGCCCAATGGTAAACCCCTGTCAGAGGATAAAATTAACGATATTAAAAGCTATTTACATCTAATTCCTTCAGACGCTAAACCGTTTTATGAAAATTTTACAAGTGCTAATGTAGTCGAAGACGTTGATGGATTTAATGTTCCAGTTCTAGATTTTGAGGTAGATACCCACAATAATTAAAACTTTTTTTAAATTTACATTTACATAAGAAAATCATTGTAATTTTGTTTCTTTGGATCATTAAAATTTTTATAAAAATATGACATTATTTATTTATCTGAAAGATTCCAACCCACATAAGTATGTTTTATCGAAATTTTTTTCGGATTTTTGTTTTTTGTTAAAAACGTCCAACCTAAAATTTTCAAAATAACTTCATTGAAACTTACATTTAAAAGAAATTACAAACGAGGTGCCTACGAGATGAATATCATTATCTTAAAATCATTGCCAGGCGAATAAATTATGCATAGTTTAGCTAGGGCACACTAAAATCTTTTAAACTCAATTTCCCAACAATCACTTTTTTTGGGTTGGACGTTTTCTGCTTAACTACGTCCACATATTCTATGCATTTTTCTTTTATTTATTATTATTCTGTTTAATCAATAGTTTTCATTACGTTAGAAAATATTTTCTATAATTAGGAAATTCAAAAATGTTCAATGCATTAAAACTTCTAAAATTTACGTTGTGCTTTATTTTTGTTCTCTAAAATTTACTTTTCTTATCAATCTAACGTTGTGCCATCTGGTATGGGAAGAGGGTTGTAGTACTCATAAAACCAACAGAGCCATGGCTCTTGATGTATAAATGTGTAATGAAAAATAAAAAAATAGCAGGACAAAGTAATGCATGAGCAATTGAAAAAGATAAGGGAAGTTAAAAAAATAAAACAAATAAAAGAAATAATACTGAATTCATAGAGTATCAGCAGGAAAGTCAAAACTTATGAAAAGAAAATATAGCTCTAAAAAATAATATTAAGGTGTTTAAAAAACGAAAACATGAGAATGCAGGATAAACTAGAACAAGTAGATAATAGACTAGAAATTATTGAAAAATCCTATATGGAGAAGAACGTCATAGTACAGAGCATAAACATCGATATAAGTAAAACTAACACTTTCAGCGAAGCAATGGGAATTTTTTTCAATAAACATTTACAGATACAAGTAGCAGTGAAACTAGGGGGAAATGCATGCCTGATAGAACTTCAAAATATGGCTGGCAAAAAACTGATTCTCAAAAATAAATATAAATTAAACGTTATATGGAATGAAAGAATCTATATAAATAATTATTTAACCAATCAAGAACAAAAACTCAGAGGAATTTAAGAAAATAGCAAAAACACAAAATGAGAAAAAGATCAACATGGGGTTCGGCAAAATATTAATAGATGGAAAGAACTGAAACTGGAACAACAGCAAACAAACAATATTATTGAAATTGTGTAAGCCATATAGAAAATATCAGATGTATGTTTATTAACGAAAACCTAGCTAGAGTCCCAATCACAGTCAAATTTTACTTCTTTCCCTGGAGTTTAGTTGAAATTTTTTTGAACTACATCAAATTTAAATATTAAAAAGTAATATACCTGTGATATCGTATTCTCTATGGACCAATAATTTAACTATAAACAATGAGTAACAGTTTATCTTGATGTATACTAAAATTGTTTTGTTCAAATACCTGTTTAATTACACTGCACATGTAAATGTTTAAACTTAACTCGTAAAATTCCCTTTTGAACTTGCTTTATGAAGATACAACATTGTGAATGTTTATATTATAAGCTGTATTTGATTATCAAATAAATATACATCAAAATTAATGAGATAAAGAAAGAAAAGTACTTTACTTACGGTTTCTATAAACAAATTTTATCGCTGGGCGTTAAAATATCATAATCTATTAGGAGAACTATTTATTACTTTTTATTTAGGTAAGTGATGAAATAGTAGAAATAGACTTCTTAATTAAAATAAAAAAACTTCCTTGTCCAAACCAAAATAGAACTGACAGATAACCTCAAAACAAAAGAAAACAAAACCTTAAACAAGAAGATGAAGCCCATGTTAGACTTTAACCCAATACTTAAATAGCGCGTATGTCTTTTAAAATGAAATATAAAAAATGGGTTTAAAAATGTTTATTACAAATTACAACGTATACTGTTACTTGATTGCTTCTGAAATAATTCTATGATAAATTATCTTAATCAAATTTTGTCTTGTTGCAAACTATACAGAAAAACTGAAAAAGCAAAGTGATTGTAAAAATTTGCCTAGTAAAAAGTGAGGTTAGCTTTTCCATTTATTTGTATTTATAACTTTATAAACATAACTTAAACAAAAAAAGTTAAAATGACGGCCCCAATGGAACGAATTCAAGTACTAGATTCTATAGAAAAAGATATAATAACGTGCCTTCACAGTGCAGGTATATAAATAATTTATTAATTTCCAAAAAAATCACTAACTATAATGTACATTTTAGGACAAGTATTTGTAGAGCTCGGTAAAGAGAAATCCAGTTTAAAACAAGCCGAAAACCACACACAGATGTTTCTCAAAACTTTAAGCGCCGTAGAGAACAAACTAACCGACCAAATCAATTACTTAACCCAAGTATCCACTGGACAGCCTCATGAAGGCTCCGGTTATGCCTCCCAGAAAGTTCTACAAATGGCTTGGCATAGACTGGAGCACGCCAGATCCAGAGTGAACGAATTGGAAAGATACAAAATTAAACATATGCAAGGGAGAACCGCACAAAGAAGCATTACTGCCCCAACGAATGTCACATCTTCAGCAGCTGGTATAAGTGGGCAAAATATACCACCAGGTTCTGCCACATAGTGTTTCGTTTTCTTAATTGGTGTATATATTGTGATTGAAGATGGAGAGTTAATGTTTGTACTCTCTTAGGTTAAGATTTTAGTTTTATAAAATAAAATGTGTGGATGTGGGAAGAACTTTTAGTTTGATTTGTTTTTAATAAAGAATATTAAACCTGTGTTTAAGTGATTTGAGCAATTGTGTAGTACAAGTTATATCTTTGGGTAATTTGGCAATCCATTTTATAAAAGACTGAAACTTGGTCTCTATATTTTAACAAACCTTTAGGGGAACAGTAACCGTTTTATGGAAGCTATCTGCAGAAAGTAAAGTGATCTGACTGAACACAGGATTTCAGGTAAACCAGTAAACTACCCCACAGGTAAAACAGTTACTTCCACAGCAGGTAAGTTTCTATGATGATGATTCTGATAAAAAGGAACATAACTCGATGAAAATATAATTGTACATGTAGAAAATTTGGAAATTAAAAATATCTACTAAGGTACAAAAATTGTTTCATTTAATATCCTTTTTTATTGACTTCGATAGTTTCTCTTCATATATACCAGGATTATATTAATACATTCACAACAGATGGTATTTTCACCAAAACTATTAAAATATGATTCAGGCATCCCATATTAAGATTTTATTCATATATACGATTCAGGTCTCCAGCGTCCCTAATAGTGCCCATTTTTAAAAGTTGTTTTTTTTTATATATAAAAAAATATTCTTAAAATTATAATATATAAAATAGATGTCGACAATTTTGTTTTAAATACAAGGTTTTATCAGGAAATAAATATAATAAAAAATAAGACTTATTTTTAAAAGAAAAGATCTGTATTTTATTTATAAAAGAAATAAGTACCTGGACAAAATTAATAAATATGCATTACATGGTTTTCATTAAAACAAGGTAAACAGTATCCTTACTGACTTGTACAATCAGGAAATAGGTGATTACTTTTCTAACTTACTTATCTGCTTCTCGACTTGAAAGTGATTTCTGTAACATTGTGTAACATCCTACACACTTTTTTCTTGGTTTGCTTCCTTCATCCTCCAGTTTTACAAATGTATGGATTGTTCGTTTTGGTGTTTTATTTATTTCATCTCCAGTATCCATAGTAACTAATAACTGAGCTAATTGCCTTCTAATTGCATCATAGACTTTTTTGATGTGGCTAACTGAAAAACAACTCATGCATTCACAACACATGTTACAAAAAGCAACTCAAAACAAAGCTTTTGATACCATTTTAGGGATTTCCTCAAAACTGTAAAATAGGCAGACATTTGATCCCTTATATCCACACCTTTTTTAGCTTTATTGTAATCAGTAATATATTTTGGTTTTTTTTATTTCATTCCCTTTTCTATATTCTGTACCAGTTTCTACATGGATCACCTCATTAACATCAGATGTGATCATCAAAACTTGTCTCATTATCTATCCACTTTATTATTCTTAAATTCCCACTTTCTTCTCCATACACTTCAGATTTTATCATATTTTATTTCAAATGATTTTGGAATCCCTTTTCTATTAGATTGAAGTGTTCCACAGTATTTAATATTTCTTTTATACAATTCCTTCACTAAAGAAATGCTGGAATAGAAATTATCAGCGTACAAGATTCTGCCCTCCTTCTGGTCTAAACTTAAAATTAATTTTGGTACAATGTATTCTGAATGACTAAAATTAATTTTAGTACAATGTATTCTGAATGACTGTTACTAAGAATATTAACCATATCATAGTTTTTACCTGCATAAACTATCATATTGTGCTTATACCTATCTATTGTACATAATTTGTATAGTTTTATTCCATATTTATGTGTTTTTTTTTCAGAATGTATTGTTTGAATAACAATCTGCCTCTCCAAGAAATCATGCTTTCATCTATTATAATCTCTTGGCCAGGTGTCAAGACAAAAGTTTTCCAGCAGTATGTCGAGCAATGGATTTACTTTGCAGAACCTATTTTCACTAGCAACAGTGTTATCAGTCTCTATTCCAATAAGCACTAAGTGTCGACAAAGGAACTAAGCCCATTGTTAAAATTATAGCAAAAATTTTTTTTTTTTTTATTTATTTACATTTAAGATTTTTTACAATCTGTTTTGCAGTGAAAACAATAAGTAAAACTTTTTGTCTTTACATGACAGAGAGATGTAAGGTCCAGTGACCAAATCATCACGACACAAGTTGGCTTTTTTACCGGTAGGATGCGCACATACACTGATACGCGAGCACTAAAAGCGGCACTGATCACAATGTCTGGGTGCTGTTGAGGGCCTAACTCCCACTACTGTAGGCTCTGTCAGGATCGGTGAGGTATGTCCAAGGGGTCATGTCGCTTCAATCTCTTCGCTTGTTGGTTGTTGAGAAGGTTGTGTGCCAGGGTATTAGGATGCACCCGCAACCTGTTTTGATATTGTTCAGAAGATTTTTTGCACTCTTCAGAGACTGTTAGTACCTGAAGATCTCTATGTATTGCATCATTCTGGATATACCAAGGTGCATTAGCGATTGTTCTCAGAGTTTTGGATTGAAATCTTTGTATTATCATAATATTAGATTTGCTAGCTGAACCCCAGAGCTGCGAGCCATATGTCCAAGTGGGTTTTATTATTGTATTGTATATCAGCAGCTTGTTGTCGATCGATAGGTGAGAGTTTTTTCCCAACATCCAGTAAAGTTTTCTGTATAAAATTCCCAATTGAAGCCTTTTCGTCCATATATGTTTGGTCCAAGTTAGACGTTTGTCAAGGTGAATACCTAAGTATTTTACGTCATGCTTTTGGGGCAAAGGATGTCCATTGAGGTTAACTTGTGGACATGTACCTCTTCTTAGAGTAAATGTAATTTGTGTGGATTTTGAGGGGTTTACTCTAATTCTCCAGAGTTTAAGCCATTCATTTGTTTTGTTCAGATGTAGTTGCAGTCTCTCTGATGCTATTATTGGGTTGCTATGAGAGGCCAAGAAAGCAGTATCATCTGCGAATGTTGCAAGCGTTAGGTTATTGCTTATTGGCAAGTCAGCTGTATATATCAGGTACAGAATCGGTCCGAGCACACTACCCTGAGGTACACCAGATAGGATGGGGTAGAGTTTTGTATGGGCTTCATTATATTTTACCAGGTATCTCCTTTCTGTAAGGTATGATTGAAGCAGTTTAAAGTAAGGGTAAGGTAAATTTTTCTTTAATTTGTACAGAAGTCCTGTATGCCACACCTTGTCAAAAGCTTGAGAGGCGTCTAAAAAGGCTGCAGTACAGTATTGCTTGTTCTCGAGACTACTTCTTATTGTTGTGTATAGTCTGTGAACTTGTTCGATTGTACCATGTTGGTTACGAAAACCAAATTGATGGTCAGGTATGAGACACTTTTCGTCCAATATTGGTTTGATTTTTCGTAGCAGCAGTTTTTCAAAGACCTTAGAGATGACTGGGAGTAGACTAATCGGTCGGTATGAGTTGACATCTTTTGGATCTTTACCAGGTTTTTGAATGAGTATAATCTGTGCCACTTTCCATTGCAGAGGAAAGTAATGCAGACTAAGCATAGCATTGAAGATCATAGTGATTGTTCTGTAGCAGTCATTGGTTAGTTCCTGAAGGATCTTACCCGTTATGAGGTCGAATCCCGGAGCCTTATTGGGTTGTATCTCATTCTTTATTATGTGTTTTACTTCTTTAATATTAAACTTGGTGATTGGTAGTTCCATTTGATATGGAGCCTCAAGAAAAGAATTAAATGGTTCTTCTTGTTCTAATGGCACTACTCTGTTAAATGGACTAAATACTGTAGAAAGATGTTCTGCGAATGTCTCAGATTTTTCTGTGTCTGTTCTTGCCCATTTACCTTTGACATTTTTTAGAGGAGGTATGGCGTCTTGTGGACCTTTTACCTTTCTCGTCGCCTTCCATAGAGAATAATTGGTGTCTTTGGACGGAGTCAAATTTTCTAAGTAAGTTTGGATCCCCCTGTTTTTCTCTTCTTTTAATAGATTTTTAAGTCTTCTGGTAATTCTGTTTAAATTTTGTTTGTCAATAGGAGCGTGTGTGTTTTGCCACTTTTTCCTAAGTTTTCTTTTCTCATCGATCAGGTTTTTTGCACTTTGCGAACAGTTTATGCTTTCCTTCCATGTTGTTTGTTCAGGAGTAGAAATCCAACCTGCCTTTTGTATGGAGGTAGTAAGTTGTTGTACCGCATTTTCAATTTGTAATTCTGTTTTAAGTGGCAAGTTCGTTGGTATTTGTTCTGCTAGTGCGCTTCGGAATATTTTCCAATTTGTTTGATTATTGGTTAGGACTGGAGGCTTATTTCTGAGTATGATTTTGGAGTCTAGGTCAATTAGAATGGGAGAATGATCTGAAGAGAGGTCCCAGCATGATTCTATTGCTAAGTAGTTAAGAGAGATATCTTTAATCACACAGAAGTCTAAGAGATCTGGTGTTTTATTTGGATCTGTAGGCCAATAAGTTGGTTCTCCTGTAGATATGTGTTGTAGGTTGTTTCCTGTTATTGACTTCAGCAGTTGTCTACCCCTTGTTGTAATTATCCTAGAGCCCCAGTGATGATGTTTACAGTTAAAGTCTCCTCCTGCTATGAATTTGTGTCCAAGAGAACTAAAATAGGTGCTAAAGTTGTTTTCGTTGATTGGTTGACCAGGAGGACAGTAAACCGCAGATAAGGTAAGGTTGCCTAACCAGTCTTCGATGACAATGCTAGTTGATTGCAGGTACTTTTCACTGAACTTATTTAACTCATGGTGTTTTATATTAGATTTGATAATGATAGCTGTGCCACCGTGTGCCTTGTCATTTGGATGTTTTGTGTAGTAGACAATGTATTTTGGAATTTTTATATAGTTTTTGTCTGTTAGATGAGCTTCTGATACAAGCATAACATCAATTTTCTTCTCGTCGAGGAAAATTTTTATTTCTTGGATGTGGTTCGTTAGGCCATTTGAATTCCAGACGGCTATTTTAAGTCTGTGTTGCATTAGTGCATTTTGGAAATCATAGTCATAAGAAGATTAAGCATGGTGTCCATTCTCTCTACTAGTTTTGTCATCAGGTTTTCAAGGTTGGCAATTTTCGTTGAATGGTTTGAGCCGACATTAGTTTGTTGATTTGTGATTTCATCCGCTTGACTATTTCCTGAAGTTTTTTGAGCGTAAGAAACACCAGGGGTTACTCTTTGACTATTAGTTTCATAGGTGTCTGTTCTATGGGTCTCTTGATTCTTTCTGAGTTGGGGGAATTTTTCTTTTTGTATTTGTTTGTATACGCTGCAGCCCTTATAGTTGGCCGGATGGTTTCCGTTACAAAGTACACATTTTACGTTATTGCTGCGTTCTTTTCGTGGACAGTGTAAAGTAAGATGATTACTTGCACACTTTACGCATCTTGGAGGCATATGGCAGAATTTTTGTGTGTGACCGTAGCGTTGACATTTGGTACATTGGGGAACCTGACGTTTGGGATATGGTGGTTCGAAGGACACAATCATGTTCTGGAGTGCTCTCACATCATATATGTCTTTATTATTTGGCTTAGTTTTTAATTCTATATAAAAGAGCGGAAGCGCTATTTTTGATCCATTCTTATATATATTAGCTATGTTGGTTACTTCGTGTCCCATTAATCCCAGCTCATGTACTAAAGCGTCTTTATCTGCTGTCTGATGCATATTACGAAGCACAACTCGGAATGTTCTTTCTTCCTTTTTTTGGTAGGTGTAATAATGTGTTTTTTTCTCATTGAGTGCTTTGGTTATGATTCGGTAATATTCAGAAGTTGAGGGCTGGATCTTTACTTGGTCGTTGTAGAGACATTTGATGGAATATCCCAGAGGGGATATTGTTTCTAACAATTGTCGAAGAGGTTGTATATCACCTACATCTGAAACAAATATGGGTGGGGGTTGAATACTTTCTTTAACTGCATCAGTTCTGGTTTGGTTGGTCTCATCAGGTGCTTCATCTAAGCTAGCAAATCTATTAGACGTTGGTGTGGGTGCTTTGAGCCAGTAATCGCTCATTATTGTTTGTTTTAGTTGTTTATCACCTCCAGGGCTGTCATTTCTTGCTCGTTTGTGGGCTTGAACAGTTTTCCATTCATGTTCTTGGTTTTCTTGGCTATCTTGTGGAGTAGAGATGTATATTTGTGACGGTAGATAAGAAGAAGAAGAAGAAGCATGATTAGAAAGAAAAGAGTTACCTGGTTGTTCATGTTGGTTCTCAGTTGACTCTGTCTCTTGGAGTAGTATATTGGTTGAGCAATTTACATTGCTTTGTTGTTCGCTAGACAAGGTTCTGTTGCTCGATGGTTGTTGCATGGTAGTTATTTGCAGATCAGCAATGTGTTTTTCTGAAGTTGGACATCTCGGCGGAGATCTGCTCACTTTGTTTGAATTTAAGAAGGGATTGTCTATGTCCATCCTGTATCACGATTAAATATTTTATACATCACGATCAATTATTTATGATACGCCTATGACTTTTATTTGCCGGTATTTGGCGTTTGGAAATACCACTTGTTTTATTTTGTTTGCGTTTTTAGAACACTGATAATTAATATTAGTAATTAACGATATAGTTTACAATAAGAACTGGTTACTATAATAATAGATATTTTTGTACTAGAGAAACAAATTTATGCGACCGTCTCCAGCAAAGGTTGGGACGAGACTTGAATATAGCAAAAAATGATAAAATTTCATTGTTATCGGTATTATTCCATTCAATTCTCTTCTTATTTTTCTTGGAAATATCTAATTTTTGGATTACATACATATCTATTAGTTTCTCTAATAATCAGTTCCAAAACATTGTCGGTAAAAAAAGCCTGTAAGCGTCTACCGCTTCATATTGATATTTTCCATATTAACATTTAACTTTTGTGTACAATTTGTTACAAACGGGTCGAGTTTCGGAAAATAGGCCTACATAGGTCACATTGTTAACTTTGAATGTTAGTGAAATTTTGATCAGAGTATTGATTATCTTGATCCCCTGCATCTGAAGCAGAAAATTAGTCTGATTCTGAAAGGAAAGACAATTAAGATTTGATTTCACGTATAGTGCGTCTATGTATCCGCTTATACGTATTCCACCCTAAAAGGGATCTTCGGAGCGGCTATTCACAAGCGCCCTGAACGTGAAAATAATCTTTTCTGTCATAATAGAAGTAACTATAAGTATTCACGAATTTTATTCGGCTACTGTTTAATTGTTGATTATTGTTAATTGTGTTTATTATGGAGCGTCAATCACATAATTTAACCCGAGATGAATGTGCCCAAGCAGTGATACTGTCGGAAGAAGGTTGGAGTTACCGAAGAATTGGTCGTCGGTTTAATGTGTCCCACACAAACCGGGTAACTACCCCTATTCATGATCGATTTTTAAGAATTTCTGCTCTTCGACAAGGTTTTGTAACACATCGACGTCTACAAATTCAGCTTGCATGCTATACAAATTAGTACTGAAACCGTTCACCAGCGACTTAGGGAATAGGTACAACTTAACACCTGTTGTACTTACTTGTTTGTACAATAACGACAGACGTGTTCGTGTGTTGCGACGACCCAACGAACGATATGCTCAATGTAACTTCTCACACAACACATTTTTTTATGGAGGATCCGTTATGGTGTGGGGTGGTATTTCTTTGACCGCACGTACGGACCTAGTGGTCATATACAAAATGAAACTGTTACAGCTGAAAGGTACATATTGGAGATCCTGAAGAAACATGTACCATTCGCTCCTTATATCAGCAAAAATTTCTTACTAATGCAAGATAATGCCAGCCCTCATGCCGCTGCACAGATCGTCAGAAATTATCTAGAAGAGGTAGAAATTAACCCTATGCAATGGCCAACACATAGTCCGGATTTAAATCCGATTTTTAAATCCGATTAAGAGCGACACCGATCCAACCAAACAATTTACAGGAAGTGGGAGAGATGCTGATCAAGATTTTGAGAGAACTAGACCAAAATGAAATACGGCAATTAATTTTAAGTATGGGCCAACGATGTGAGGCTGTTATACGTAGTAGAGGTGGAAATACTCGTTATTAAGACTTTTTTCATATTTTAGTTTACTTTTCTTACCATTATTTTTTGTTTTATTTTTTTTTCTCCTGTACTTCACATTTTCTGATGATTAGACAAATTGTTATACTCGTACTTACTAATAAAATGTAGAATAAATCTGGTGAAGTTTTATTTTTTATTCTTTGCCTGTTTACAAACAAAATTGATTTATTGAAGTGGTCCGTTAATTTCTTGGAGAAGTGTATATAGGTACTAATAGCTTACATTGAAAGAACAATACAATACTGCAATTTTGGCAAAAAACTTAAAAAGATCGGAATACCTTCGCGATACTACCTATACGTACCGTGTTACGATCAAAATTATTGTTAAAATAGGGTCGCCCGGGTCCCAAACTTCATTTCGGTTACTATGAAATTTGCCGCGAAATTCTACACAAGGCGTTCTGTGAACTATCGCCATCTGTTGACTAATAGTGGAAATACGCATTTCAAGTACTGGGAAAGTCGAGAAAGATTTGTACAAAAATTTTAGATTATTACATGTACAGGACCGCGGGGCCCCGAACCGTTGTGATGCCCTAAAGGTGTTAAAAGTTCTAGTTCCTTTCAATTGTAACTTGTATCCCTATAATAATTGTGCAAGCCTCGGAATGTCCTGTTGTTCAAACCGAAAATACTGTTTAGCTTGCTCAGGCTCTACGCTATCAAGATTGAACACATAATGTACATTTTGTATGTTATGATATAAAATATGATTTAGTATTAAATCTTCTATAACTTCGTCATTTATTTCAACTAATATTGGTTGTTCTAAGATGTCTTCCATATTTCTGTAGAAAAAATTTGAAACCCAAAATGTACAAAACTCATGTTATATCAGAGATATGTAATATGTAATATCTCTGACAAAACTAGACAAAATATATATCTGCGGCGAAATAAAACATAAAACAAAACATTAATTATTTTTCTGTCACATACGACATTTGACTGACAGCTGCCAACTAAATTGAAGTTTGACGTTATGTCACTATTCACTATGTCACAGAAGAAGAAGTAGTCCCATGTCCCATGCCATAATGTTGATTTTGCTGAAGTGAAAACAAAAAATTTAACGAGTTAGATCGTTTTGAAAATAAAATATATTTTTATTCTAGTATGTCGGATAGGAATAAAAGAGCAACGCCTAAATTAGAATTATCTAATGAAAACTATGAAGACTCATATGATAATATTTTCCCGGAAAGATTTAACTTGCAGGGCCAAAGGAAAAATAGTTTTGATGCTGAACAGAATAATAATTGTGGTAGCAAGCCAAAATGTATTGGCTTAATGCATCCTCCATCAAGCACAGCAAATCTAGCACAGAGCAGGTTAAGCAGGCTCAGACATAACTTACAAAAAGATTTATTAGTTAAGCAGCTAACTCCTTCACCTCCCACAAAAAAAAATTATGACCCTGGTACAAGTCAGGGTAGGTATATTTAAATATTTTTTCATATTATAAAACTGGCTGTATAAAATTGTGTAGCCAATTTATCTGAATGTATATTTGAATCTGAATGAATATTTATCATAATCATTGTTGTATAACTATCTTGCAGCTTTGTTGTGCTGGAATCAATAAAATTTAAATATTACTAAATAATCTTTATTTTTGGAGAATATAGATACTTACAATTTCCCAAACAATATTCATTAGTATAGAGCTGTTTTACTATATATACAATTGATTATTGTTGCATTAAATGTTTCTATTTAAATGGGAATAAGCCACAATTAAAGGTTAAGTATTTATTCGTGCATTTAGTTTACTTTCAATACACACCAAATTCTGATTTTATATGTTTGTTGTTTATAAAAGATAAATGATGTATCCTCGGTTACTGACTTACTAATATTTGTATTTTCCTTTTAATAACTTCCTCTTTTAAAATAAGTAACCCGATTCTACTACATTCTGCTGAGGAATTTGTGACACAATTGGTCTCATTTAGTATAATTAGAGCCGCTTCTTTGATTTTCTTTCTTTTTACCATCCGTTTCTTTTAAGACTATATTTGAATCATTCTATTGAACCCTATGTTCATTATCCCATGAGTGTTTAAATATTTGAGATCTATCAAATTCTCTATTTTTAATATAAGATTGATGTTCACATATTCTAACATTTAATGGCCTTGATGTTTGACCTAAATTAAACTGATCACATTCAAAAGGTATTTTATAAATACAATTCTTTATCCTTTCTTGTTCATTGTTAGGTTTGGTTTTAGACAAAATAGATCTCAATGTGTTTGTTGTTTTGAATGTTGTTGAAATGTTGAATTTATTTCCTATCCTTTTAAGTTTTTCTGATAATCCTTTTATGTATGGTATTGTTATTTTCCTCATATTATTCCTTGTGTATGCTGTAGGATCTTGTTCTAAGTTGTTCTGTTCTATTTGGTCAATTGTTGAAAATTCCTTATTTATAAACTATAAAGGATAATCATTTTTTAATAAAACAGATGTTAGCAAATGTTTTTCTTCCAAGATCAATTTTCGTTAGAACAAGCAATTTTGGCTCTATCATATTAGGATTTAATGATTCCCTTTTTAATATTAATATTGTGATTTGATTTGAAATTTAAATATCTGTTGGTGTGTGTTGGATTTCTATATGCCGGAGTCTCATATCCAGTATCATTCTTATAGATTAAACGATCCAGGAAAGGAGTGTGTTATTTTATTCCTTTTCCATGGTAAATGGTAGTGTCACATGCATGCGATAATGAACATAGGGTTCAATGGAATGATTCAAATACATAATAGTCCTAAAAGAAACGGATGGTAAAAAGAGAAAAATCAAAGAAGTGGCTCTAATTATGCTAAATGAGACATAAATTGTGTCACAAATTCCTCTGCAGAATGTGTAGGATCTGGTTACCTATATTAAAAGAGCAAGTTATTAAAAGAAAAATACCAGTATTAGTAAGTCAGTAACATAATAGAGGATACATCATTTATGTTTTCTAAACATATAAAATCAGAATTTGGTGTTTATTCAAATTAACTAAAGGCACCAATAAATACTTACCATGTTGGGATAGTATTATGAGGTTTTTTCCTGATTTTTCCCTCACAATTTACTATGGAATCACTAATAGGAGAATTTTACTGTCATCATGGCATGTGTTTGTTTTTTTTTAAAGACGAAAGATGTAGTTTTCAAGTTAAAGTTGATTTCATGTAATCAAATGAACTATCTTACAAGTAAAGTAGTCCCAGCAACTCAACTCAACAATATTAGCAATATCATTTTAAAGTCGTCTATTTTAAAATGTATAATGTATGTCTAAATTGTCAATATAAATGAGTCAGATAAAATTAAATTATTACAAAAATTTTTCATCAAGTAACAAAAAAAAATTTGTTTAATTAACTAGTGTTTGTATTTTGAAAATGATTTCCGAAGTGGAAATTGAAACGTCAAATAAACTTACTTTAACCTTTAATTGTGTCTTATTCCAATTTAAATAGTAATTACTTTAAAATGCCACAAGAAAATAGCTTCAGAACAATATCAAATGTTAAATTTGATATACGTTTTTTAATTTAAGGGTCTCTGATTATTAGCAATGCCAAATGGGGTTGTCTGCTTAAAGCATGGGGATAGAGTATTTTTGTTTTCTTAATTGTTTTAATATTGAAAGTTTTATACCAAAAAATATATCCGTGAAAGTTTTGGAGCAAGTAGAGGATAAAAAATGAATGTAGTATTAAGATCTGTTACTTTTCTTTCCAGATCAATCCAATTTTCAGAGCCATAATGCAGACCAAATGGAAATATGTAAGTATTTTATATTTTTTCTAAACTAGAATAAGTCTTACATGTTATTCAAAATAATTGAAGATATAATAATCAATTTATAATTTGGTATAATATATTGTCATTGCTGAAATTGTTAAGAGGGACTACGTCCATCATTTGTATTATAGTTTTGATTCAAGATCAATATCTGCTCAAGTATATCACTTCTGTTTGGTGTTTTACAAGGCTAGAACCTTGATGCTAGTTTATTTTTGGTATATAAAGTCAAAGAGCTTATTACATTGCTTAGGTAATTATAATTATGTAATTGTTTGTCCATACCATTATGATACTTACGTTCTGCCAGTCTACTATTTAGTTCTTCTCAGTGTTTCCACACTAGCCTAGTTTGAAAGCCCTCATGTTATTTTACCTTGCACAATGTAAAATTGTCTAGAGTATAGAGGTATATCCTTCTAGTGGAATAGAAATACTTTTATTTTCGCTATTACCAGCTATTAGAGTGTGTTTCACAGCTCCTCAGTGTTGCGAATTGTTAAAAACCTCCTTGTTGCCTCCAGTAATTTGAGAGATAAAAAACTTCCAGAAATACAACAATAAAGCGAAATCAATAATTGTTCAATGTGTTTCCAATGTACAGTTAGGCGCAGTTAACAGCCACTGTGGTAAAAAATAAAAGATCAAGATATATGTAATTTGTTATTAACTTTGCCAAAATCCAATGAAACAGTGGTAACAGTTATAGAAAATTTATTATCTGATAAACTGTCATATGAAGAGGTTATTGAGTCAAGAAGAAAAGAGGGGCCTGAGTGCAGGAGCAAGTTAAGTAGCTGATGCTGAACAAGTTATCTTGTTATAGGTGTGGAAAAAGAGACCATTATAAAAGGGAATGCCCAGCAAGAATATTTACGTTAAGAATAATTTTAGAGATCAAATTTTCAGAATAAAAGAGGTTTTAAGGATGGTCTTAACAGGAAATGGGTCAAATAGAGGTAACAGTTACAGTATAAGAAACATACATCACAATAGAGAAATTCATAGAAGCAACTTCACACAACAGCAGGAAGGGTCACATAAGAATAATGAGATGAATGATGAGAGAATAATGAGAATACTAGAAGTGTTCAAAGGTATGTTTTATAACTGAAGTAGGTAAAAATGAAATTGATAGTAAAACAGTGAACAACTTAGAATTTGTGATTGATTCTGGATGTACAGATGATTTACTAAATGATAAAAGTATCTTTATAGATTTGGATATGTATAATGTTGGATAAACCTATTATTATAGCATTAGCAAAAAATGGTAACTATTTTTATGCAGTTGGTGTTAAAAATATTAATGTCTTTAGCAATGTTAATGGTTGACAAGTAGAATGTAAAATTTAAAATGCTTTCTCTGTAACATAGTTACGAAAAATTTATTTTCCGCGAATCGCCAGGAAATTTTGACATTCCTGTCAACATTTCTTGAAGAAAAAGTCAGGACTTCCTTACTGTAAGGAAATGTCATTTCCTTACTGTAACGGCCGGTTTCACAATCAGAGGTTAACCCTAGAAGTTAAGTAACCTTTACCTCTAGTTTAACTGACAGATGCCGTTTCACATTCACAGATTCGGTTATGGTCACTTAACCTTAAGTTTCGTTTTATTTTTCTTATGTTGGTAGGAAATTAGGGACAACAATCAGATGTTTATGGAATATTGTCAGTAAATATTATGGACATTGACCAGTATAGATGAGTTATGACACATTTGTCACGTTAGATCGAAAACAATATACCAATATTATTCTCATTTTCAAGTTCTGTTTAGTGTGGCAGTTTGTTCTAAGGAGTCGTTGTTTGTTCTTTCAAGTTAAAATTAAAATTATAAAATAAACCAAGAAAAATATTCAAGAGATCGCCAAACTTTTCGCCAGAAGAGGAATAATTACTGATTTCCTTATACATGAAATAAAAAATTTAGAAATTGTATATATAATTTGCTTCAACATATTTTTAACTGTGTTTCTTGAAAATCTAAACCTTCATGATCTAGTTCTTCAAAATGATTTGTTCTGTGCCTAATGATTTTTGGTCTGCCAACTTCCTTATCACTGCTAAAAACATTTACATCATATAAATCCATATCTGATTAATTAATAATTGATGCGTCTGTCTACACTCTGCCAATGTCAACAAAACGAAATTCGAAATTAGGTTAGGATATCCTGGTCAAGCTCTAAACCACCGCTTTTACTTTGGGTTAAAAATTTTGTAGGTTAACCACAACCCGAGCTGTTGACTTTATATTGTGAAACCTATATTTTATGGCAACCGCTGGTTATCTCTTAACCGCAAGGTAACTTTACTTTGTGAAACCGGCCGTAAGGAAATGATATTTCCGTACAGTTGTTAGTGTCCTACATAAATTAAATTTATAAGCGTCAAGTTTGACAATTCAACCTCAATACGTTTCCATAGTAACCCAAGTAATGTTATTAGGAATTTCAAAGCACCATTTATTTGGGAATAAAATAATCTCGTTTTTTTTTAAATCAATCAATATCTGTCGAATTTTAAACGATTTGCGGAAAAATAGTATGTTTACCTCGTAGGAAAAGCCACATTCCTGGACTCTGTGTTGTCTCGGCTTGCGCCTCGACTTAGCAATCTTCACAGTCGTCCAGGAATGTTAAGCTTTTCCTACCCGGTAAACAATGTACTATTTCTGTAAAAAGATTAAAAATGTGATTTTTGAAAATGGTGTTGTAAAATTAATGGAGAATGATCTTTTAATAGGATTACGCAAAGGAGACAGTTTATACAAAATCAATTTTAAAATAGTTGAACAAAAATGTTACTCTGTCCAAAGTGACCAAAATAAAGAATTTATTAGATGGCATGAAATGTTTCCATATCTAAATTTTAAATCACTAGAAAAATTAATTAAAAATAGTATAGTTGATGTAATAGATATTGACGCAGTAAATTTTTGTGAACTATGTATACAAGGGAAATTTTCAAGGAATGCTGATGTTATACAACGAAAGTTGTCGCTGGTAGAAGATTGATGAGTGAGTTAGATTAGGACAAAAAAGAACTTGTTGCAAATCAGTACATAAAACGACATAATTAGCATTTACTTTTGCAATTTCAGTATCTTGTCTTAATGTTTTGTAACCTGCTTCCGCTCACATATGATAAATTTTACTTTCAGTTTCTATTTTCTTTGCAGAAAAAAGTTTGATAAAGAGCTTGTCACAATATGAACAAGTATCTGATCTGGGAAGTTCAAAACGCAAGTTGAATTTAATTGAAAAATGTCGTGGTAGGTTCGTAGAGAGATTTTTGTATTAGAGTACATTTTAAAAACAATCTGTACATTTTTGAGATGCTTAAATCAGCTGGAAGGCAACTTTTAGAAGAAGGATTTCTGCTATAATGATTTTCTTGCTGCGGAAATGACCTAATATGTTCGCATATGTTCTCTGCATCTGTTATCATGAGTCTTTTTGGGACGATTAGTATGTTTGCCACGTTGATCATTTATATTTACTCCTTCTTTCATTATATCAACAAAGTACTGGAGTCTTCTAGCGGTTATTGAAAATATATAACATACCGTTGCTTTCCATACCCTTATGTTTTCTACTGTATATTTCACTGCACACTGACGACTAGATGTTGCTTCCCCAACCCTTCTTCTTTTTGACTCTTGCAGCGAAAGAGACTGAGATAAAAATTTTGATTGGCCATTATAACTCAGTGCTCTAAACGTTTTGAATATTTTTGCGTGACTGCCCACTAATAACTCAGCAGAACAACCCGTAGCAGACTGCTTACATTTACAAATACGCACCTAAAATAAATATTGTTTTAAAACATGAAATTAGTTTAGATTACTACTTCATCCGGGCAACTTAGAGTTTCTTTGGGTACTTCTTTAGACGAACCGTACGAATCACCTTCATTTCTGCAACGCAGCAATGAAGGTGATTCGTGATTCGTTCTGTACTCTAACTAGTTATTTTGTTCTAGTGTTTGGAAGCTGCAACAGTTCTCCAACAAGTTCTATGTCACCACCAGGAAAGAAATATGTTTCGCCTTTACTTAGAGACGACATAAGTTACAAACGCCGTTCAAATGATGCTTCTGATGAAGTGCCAAATAAAAAGATCCTTATTGATCCAATGATTGCACCAAAAGTAAGGAAACCTTCTAGCTCTACTTCTTCTGTTTCCAGTGGTTCACTGAATGAAACAACTCAAATAAAGCGCATAAGGTTAAATAGACATCGTTTTCCGTTAGATGAATCTAATAAAAAAAGTAGCGGTGTTCCTAAAACTCATATTTCAAAAACACAAAACAAAGCCGACAGCTTTAAACTTAACCGTATCCGTCAGACTACTGATAATCAGATTGAAACAAATAAAACCAGGATAGATCAGGAGGAAATACCAACAGATCAGATAGTACATGATCTGAAAACTAGAGATCTGTCACCAACAAAGACTTCATTTGATATCTCTAAAAATCATATTACTGTTGTTAAAGAATCTGACCCTAAACGTAGGATAATCAAAAGTCAATCAAATCAACTTTATGTTAAATCTCCTTCTGAGTTAAACAGTTTACATAACCTGACCAAATCTGATAGTATCCCAAGTATAGGTTCATTTCAGTCACAGCAATCGTGCGAAGCCCTAAACAGTTCTAAAGATGATTCAATTGATTCAAGAAGTACTAAGGATTTAAATTCATCGTCAGAGGATAGTGAAATTTCCCGTCAAAATACCAATAGGTTAAAAAGATCTGGCGAAGCTTTGTCTAATTGTGTATACACTTTGGCTCAAAATAGACTGAATAAAGTCCAAAAAGTTGTATTAGATACCACAAATTGCAATAACGATTTGAGTAAGCCACAAAACAACCAAAGAAAGGCATTTAAGTTAAATAGATTGGGAAAAAGAGGTGCAAAAACTCCACCAGATACTGCCGTACTTAATGCCGATTTGGAAGATCCGAATCGGGAAAAACAGAAGAAAAAAGATTCGAATAAGGATGAAACTAAGTTAACAGGAAGTAGATCAACTTTTTTTGACCAATTAAGTCAGGATGAAACTACCCTAAAAGAAAGTAGGTCAACATTTTTTGACCAATTAAATAAGGACATAAATACTTTAAAAGAAAGTAGATCAACGTGTGTTAATCAATTAAATAAGAACGAAACTAAGCCAACAGAAAGTAGATCAATATTTTCTGATTCGATAAGTAAGAACGAAGCTAAATCCACTTATCCACAATTAAATATGGACATACATTTAACAGAAAGTAGATCAACGTGTGTTGATCAATTAAATAAGAACGAAACTAAGCCAACAGAAAGTAGATCAACATGTGTTGATCAATTAAATAAGAACGAAACTAAGCCAACAGAAAGTAGATTAATATTTTCTGACCCGATAAGTAAGGACCAAGCTAAATCCACAGAAAGTAGTCATTCTAACAAATCCGAGAACAAAGTATCAGTACAAAGTCGACTTACACGCATCAAGCAATCTCCAACGTCTGCTTCAAGTGGAGTTGATCATAAAACTTCTCCTCTAAGTGGAATATATGAAACGGAAAAATCCATTAGATATCCTTCAAACACAAGGAACAGATTGACTAAACAACAGGAACCCAATTGTGAAATTCGTGAAGTATCTTCAAGTGACCACAAAAAGGAGAGTGTTAAAGTAATTCCGCCGAGCATAAATAACATTAAAATTAATATAGATACCGTGAAAAATAGCAGAACTGTTTTAAATTCTAGTAATGTACCGGAAAAATTTACTTCCCCACGCAGGACAGCTCAAAGTGTATTTAGAAAGATTGGGAAAACTACAACGAGTGTCCCAAGTGTGCATATGAGGCTAGGTAGAACTTTTAAACGTAATATAGATACAGAAAAAGATCAATCTTCTTATAAGAATAATGCTATTACTGAAGAGTCAGTTAAGAATTTCAATTTTTCATTAATGAATAGTGCTAACGCTGAGAAAACTCAATTTATCACTTCTTGGATTAAGAAACATCATAACCTTCCAGATGAAATAGATTCCGGTCTCGGTCAACTCGACGATGAAACTGATGATATGGAGTGGAGCAATGTAAGTAGGTGTTAGATCTTTACGCTTTTGCATTCAGTTCAATATCAGCTTTTTTCAATATAAATGCGCAGAAACATTGCAACATGTTGATCAAAAATAAAACAATTCATTTTTGACCAACTTAAAAAAAACATTTAGTATTTGATTTTGTGCTAGGAGCCGTTTAAGTATTACATAAGCCCAATGGTCGCCAACCTCTTCAATGTGTTGAGCTACTTTGTTAATTTTGGAATAAACAGCGAGCTACCCACACGGAAGCCACGTAACGCAACGTAAATGAAATAATCCACAGTTAATCTATCATTATATGTATTTATTTTACTGTTTAACTGGTAATACATAATACATAGGTACTAATAATAAACTAATAACAAAATAACTAATATTACTAGTACGTACTTGTTCAGAGCTACATTCCTACCTATCAAACGAAGGTATTTGAAAAATAAACACAAACTTTTATTCCGCCACAACGGCATGTCACGTATGATTTAAAAATAGTTAATAATAACAACAAAAAAGTAACGCACTATCATAAACATAAACATTGAAAAATAAAAAAGCACGTTCAATGAGAAGGCTGACACTCAGACTTATCGATAATTTTTTTAATGTTTGCAGTATAATTTGATGCAGCCATTCGAATACAATTATCCAAATGTTCATCTGTAAGTCGATTGCGATATTTGTTCATAATAAACTTCATATTGGAAAAAGAAGATTCACACAAATAGGTTGAACTGAATAATGCTTTCACTTTCAAGGCAACACGGCATTCTTTACTTACAATAGGCCAGATATATTCAGTACTTGAGACTAACGATTTTAAGGCTAAATCATTTTGAAACTCAATGACTTCCATTTCTGTTGCAGCGATGTCTTCGCAAAAGTTCTGCATATCACAAGCTGCAAACTGCTGGATATCAATTTCCATAAAGGGTGAAACAACAAACTGCGCGACTAAAGCCATTTCATTGAAATCCTTAAAACGATTTTTGAAGTTACTCTTCAGGGTAGAAATTATGTCTACATGATATTTGTTGTCATAGTATTTGTTGTCATAGGGTTCTAATGGATTTTGAGATATTTTTCTGAAAGAATAGGAAAATGCTTGGAATCGCTGTTAATTAGGTTTTGTTCCCAAAACTCCAGCTTTTTGATAAATGCTTTTATATCAGAAATCATTTCCGCTAGTTCTTTGTCTCTCCCCTGAAGCTGCAAATTAAGTTCGTTTAATTTCTCTGTAATGTCCACAAGAAAACCAAAATCTCTAAGCCATATTGAATTTTCTAGTTCCGGAGTCGGTTCATCGCGTTGTTTGAAAAATTGAACTATGCCAGATAGGACATCATTAAAACGTTTCAGGACCCGTCCTCTACTTAACCATCGGACTTGAGAGTGAAGGAGTAGGTCCACGTATTGACAGTCAACTTCATCGGCCAAGGTTCTGAATAATCTTTGTAACGCTTGAGCTCTAATCTTATTCAAAATTTTTACCACCAGTTTCATAACGTTGTTTAGTTTCAGGAAATTTCCACATAATGCTTCCTGATGGATAATGCAGTGGTAACAGAGAAATTGCGGAAAAGTTTCATCTTTACGACATAACGCCACCAGACCCTTATCACAACCCACCATAGCTGGAGCGCCATCGGTTGTCAAGCCTACCATTTTCGATATTGGAATTTTCTCGGAAGAAATAATATTTTTTAAATGAGAAAACAACTCCTGTCCAGTAGTGTGTCCTTTCAGTGGAATGAACTTCAAAAGATCTTCTTTAATCGTAAAATCACTAAAAACCATCCTGACGAACACGGTCATCTGGGCAGTGTCAAGGACATCTGTTGATTCATTCAGTCGAAGTGAAAAATAAACACAGTTATCTAAGTCAGTTCTTAACTGTAAAAAAATATCATTGCTCATTACTTCTACACGTCTCATCACTGTATTAGCAGAAAGTTGCATATATTTTATAGCTGAAACTATCTCGTCTTTATTTCTAAAGTTGGCAAATAACGAATCAGTAGCTTCTAAAAACGCCTGTTTTATCATTTCCCTGTCTTCATAAGGTTTCTTTTTTTGTGCAATTATCTGGGACACACGGTAGGATGCTTCAGTTGCAGCCTTATTTTTGTCGACTGTTCTTAAAAATATTGATTGTTGTCCAATTAACTGTTTTTTTTAACTGTTTCAGTTTCTCCTTTCTGGCGGCAGGTGTAGTGGGAATGATTTTTCAAAATTAGAATGTACAGTTTTATGATGTCTCTCAATATTTCCTTTTTTAGCAACGGAGACCGAAGTATTACATAACAGACACACATTTTTATCTTTAACTTCTGTAAAAAAGTATTGTTCTTCCCATTCCGAATGAAAGTGGTATGTCTTTACCTTCTTACAACTGCTTGCCATAATATAATTTTTGTTGTTTTCTACTAACCCAACCGCTGGACGTTGGTTACGCGTTCAGTTTTAAACTAAGCGCAATGTCGCCGCGCCGTGCGTATTTATCCCGTTCAAAGCAATCCAGATCGTTCTCGAACACTAACGCGCTGGTCCGGCTGGTAGGTTCTATAAATAGCCGATTCTATCTTGACGGTGTCAGGGGCAGATCGCTCACCGCAATGTTGCCGCTGTTTATGTTTAATCTTATGACAATTAGATTTTTTTGTGGAATTTTCGGAAGCTTCTCTGATTTTTGCAGTTCGTATTTTTTAAATTAAAATCGTTGTGAGAGCTACCAGATCGACAGGTTGGCGACCACTGCATAAGCCCCTTCCCATATCAGTTGGCCCAACGTTAGATTGATAAGAAAATTAAATTTTAGAGAACAAAAATAAAAGCGCAGCGTAAATTTTACAAGGTTTAATGCATCGAACATTTTTTTATTTCCTAATTATAAAAAATATTTTATAGCGTAATGAAAATTATTGATTAAACATAATGATAATAAATTTAAAAAAAACGCATAGTAAACAAATATGTATGTAATACAAAAAAATGTGAAAGTTTACCACTGAGTTACATACCCTTTATTTTTAATGACATTAACAATTCTTGGATGCATAGTTTTTACAAAGTTCTAACAAAATTCTAAAATAAACGAATCCCAGATTTCTTGCAATTTTTCCTTCAATTCATTGAAGGACCTGGCAGGACGTTTTCTTAAAGCTTTTTTCATTTCGCGCCACAAAGTCTCTATCGGGGACAAGGCGGGACTGTTAGAAATCCATTCCAGAAGTGGTATGCCATGGTCTTCAATCCATTTTAAACTCTTTTTGAGGTATAACAACCTGCGCCGTCCTATTGGAAGACAAAATCTTCCGCTGATGTTAAACAGTGTTCCATAATCGGTAAAAGAGATTCTTCTAAAACATTCAAATACTTGTCCGTGTTTACAATCCCATCGTTAAAATGTAACTTTCTAACACTTTTTGACGACATGCTGCCCCAGATTGTAACAGATGCAGGAAATTTGACATACAGTTACGTTTACGTTGGTTTTTTAGCCAATTTTCACAATTTACAGCACGTATCCGTCCTAAATTTTATTTAAAAATTTGTAATCGATTGTTGGTAAATCGATTTTTTCCATTTTCCCTCTCTACGAGGGTTTTTAAGGGGAAGCTTTGGGGTAAAAGAGGTAAACTTTTTTGCCTCTTTTCGGGGTCCCAAAATTGACATTCCCAGCAAAATTCAGCTTGTTTGTATTATTTTTAGATGTCAAAACTCTGACGACTGGACTATTACTCTGGATTCTGTTTTGTTGTCATATTTTTTAATGATTTTTAAATTTAATTTTCTAATGTTTTACTATTACCGGGCAATGTTCTTTGTGAGTTGATGGAAAGTAATTCGTTTATAGAAAGACAACAATATCCCAACAAAATAAGAAAAGATCAACTTGAAATTATTTCAATCATTGGAATTGATGTTACTGTTTTTTGCTATGATCACTGTCACAGCCACCTTTACTTCCAAGCCATGAAGTAAAAAAGGCAACACCGCATTCTATGACGTCGGTAGTCCGATAATCAGCTGTAAGGTCTACCAGAATGAATATTAAACTAATTTGAATTTTAGGAAACTGATATTTTGAAAACTTCAATTCATTACAGAAATATTTTTAGGGAAATTTAATTAATAAAACCTTATATACTTATACCTAGTGAATATATATAAAGTTTTATTATTATTTAGGTTATATTATCAATAAAATAATCACTAGAGTAAAATTTATTGCACTTAAAATACAGTGTCAAACAGTTAATCTTACAATCAAATGCAGTCAAGAATCTCTAGAAATTTTAAATATTAAGTACTTAAGCATATAAATAATACAATACATTAAAACGACATTTAAAAAGATTATTAAAAATACAAAAGATGTAAAATTTGTGCTAAGTAAAAACTTAGTGTAACTATTATGATTAAAAAATTCATCCTAAGAAATCAGACACAATATAAATATGGTTCTAAATTAATCTAATTGAAAATTAAATATTTTACTATTTACTTATAACTTTTGTTGAATTTTCATACTTAGATATACAAAAGTAGCAATTTTAAATATGAATAGGTTTGTTGTCATATAGACCAAGTTAAAAGAGGTATACATGAAAAATGTGTTGAATGTAACATACTATTTATAACTTGTATATCGATTTAAAGTAGCCTATATTCTCAAAAGATTTTTGAATGTAATACTTAAATTTGTTATCACTTATCTAAAAAGAAGATCTAAATGAGAAAGTAAGTTCCCTAATTGTGACCATCTTGTTAATTTACTATATTGTAAAATCCATTTCAAATCATTACCACTTAATCTATTCTTACCTACATTGACGATTACACTAAAATTACTGCTAACTATTACACTACATATTACACAAATATTATCACACTTGTGTCCCAACTGATTAATGTTTAATACATAGAAATATACACAGTCACTTGTAATTTTACTTGTCCAGTTTTTCAATGGGATATTATTGTCTAAGTCTAATTGACATAATTATGTTATCTCTTGTTCCCTCTTCTTATGCAAAAAGTTTCTTCTGTCTTCGGGATTCCTTCTTTCTTTAGTACGATGAACAGTTACATATGATGGTACTTCAGGAAATATATTAGGAACTGCATTGCCTTTTAATTTGGGAAATATTAACTTTTCAATGTGTACATTTCCATCTTTATCTTCTCATTGTTCAGTCCGCTGAATATCATCTTCATGAAAATGTTTGGCACATACTACGGAAGATTTGGTAATTATACAGCCTTCTCTATGAAGAGAGCGTAACCCAGTATACCTTATTTGGGGATCTTTGGGAAACAAAAACGTACTTTCTGCCTGTTTCGTTTTTAAAGTACTGGCATAATTTGTTTTGCAACCAGGTACACAACAATGCCAGAGCATCTGTAACAAAAAACAAAAGTATTATTATTGTTGTTTTTAGTTTACATATTTTGTAACAAAAAGCAAAAGTATTATTATTTTCAGTTTGTTTTGTAGGTTATATTTATACTTGCCTTTTAAATTGTCGTTAGGAATCTTCTAAAAGTTCTAAATTTAATGATATTTCACTTATATTAATATTTTCTAATTGATTTAAACACAATTTACAAATAAAACATTCGAATAAAGTTAAAAAAACAATAAATTCAACAAACTTTACAAGCCTTCTTATATGAAATGTTAAACCAAAACAAACCACAGTCGGACTACCACGCGTTGTTGCCAAATTTCTACTTCATGGCTTGGAAGTAAAGGTGGCTGTGTCACTGTTCAAGCTTTACGCTGTATGCTTATTTCATTTAGTTATAGTTTTTATTCGTTAATAAGGTTTGACAATTTCACTGTCAAGAATGACTTAACTTTATAGGCCGAAGCTGAAACTGATGTGCTAGACAATCAAGCGTTGGATGTAGATATGGACTTACCGATGGGGACAGATGCAAAGTCCATAAAATCTTCAATTATATCTGAGGATAACAAAGAGGAAAACACCAAAGAAAAAGGGCGGTATTTGTGCATAGTGGTAGATACTAATGTTTTTATTTCAGATTTGATGAAAATTAGGGATATTATCGAATTAAAAGTTTCAGGTAAGAATAGAATGTGATACTACGAGATTGATTGATAATTATCTTGTTTAACAAAATGCAAGCTTTGTCGACACCTTTTTATCCCAAGTATGCTTATTGATTGTATTCCTTCAACTTTAGGGCCAGTCAAACCTCTTGTTTACATTCCGTGGATGGTTATAACAGAGCTCGATGAAATGAAAGACCGACCAGGAGATAATTCGTTGAAAAATCGAGCTCTTAATGCCAGTAAGTGCATTAACGAATTATTAAACGTAAAGGAACCTAGAGTTAAAGGTAAGAACTAATTATACACGTTAATATTCAAATTACTTTTCAAGAATGAAATGAAATAAAAATTTATTTTCATCAATTTTTATTTCATTTCACAGTTCACATAAAAACTGTTTTTTTTTTGACGTAGAAGTAGAGGTAGGGTCGTTTAAGACATCACCATCTTTGCGCTAAAGACGAAACAACACGCGTATAGGTTTTTTATTGGTTTTTAATGGTACCAAACCATATGATACGCATTTTCAACATGAATTTTAAATAAACGTATGGTTTGGAACCATTGGTAATTAGTTTTTACGGACATGCGAATTACCTTATAATTTGAATGGTGAGATTTATTTACATTTTTTATAAAATGATTTTATTGATTTATTGGAGGAATTTTCATCAAACTTAAGGCGAAATATGTGGTTTATGCAAGATGGTACACCATCACATTATAGAGAGAGGGCCGTGAGAACGTACTTAAATACAACTTTCCTGAACGTTGGATTGTTCATGGTAGTCATATTCCTTGGTCATGTGGTCATATTAATATAATTATTTAATTCATAAAAAATCCCAAAAGGGTACTTATTAATATACTTATAACACTTATAATAAAAACAGCTTCTTTAGAACCAATGATGCTATTGAATATGAGACGTTCTTTTATGGAATGTATTGACAAATGAATTAAAGAAATTACTTTGACAAAAAGTTTAGTGTTATTTAGTATAACTATTTCTTAATTTGGTTTGTAAATAAAATATTTTGATTATGACTTTAATTTAAAACAAAACGTAAAATGTTTGATATCTTCTTCTTTGAGTGCCTCTCCTACCGGAGATTGGGTATTATTATAACGATTCTAATTTTATTTACTGCTGTTTTGAATAATTCGTTAGAGGTACAGCCAAATTTACTTACTTACTTACTCCGTGGCGTTACAACCCTTCGTGGGTTTTAGGCGACTCGACAACATGCCTCCACTGTTTTCTGTCTTAAGCAACCTCCATTCAATTCTCCACGCCCATAGCGCTTAGGTCTCCTGCTATATTATCTCGCCACCGGAGACGAGGGCGTCCGCGTGGTCTCCTTCCAGTTGGGACTTCCTCTCACACCAGTCTTACTGTTCGTTCGTCAGAATGTCTTCTGAGGTGTCCTGCCCATTGGAGTCTTCTGGACTTTATTTCTTTTATGATGTTGGCGTCTGGGTAAAGTTCTTCGAGCTCTTTGTTAGTTCTTATCCTATATTGTCCTGATGCTTCATCATTTATAGACCTGTATCTTCGTACGTCGTGTTAGTTGTTTTGATTTTATAAGGTTTTGGAGGGCAAAAAGACATCTGTTGCTAGCCTGAATCCTGTTGTTTATTTCTTGTGATCCGTTATTGTCTTCAGTTATTGTTGTTCCAAGATACTTGAATTCTCTAACGCGCTCAAAGTTAAAGTCATCGATGGTGATGTCCTGATCGATTCTGCCTCTGCTTTGGTTATTGTGGCTCATATACATATATTTCGTCTTGTTTTCGTTGATTTGGATCCCCATCTTCTCTGCTTCCTTCTCGAACCTCACGAAAGTCTCCTTCATCCTTAATCGTGTGTTTCCTATTAGATCGATATCGTCTGCAAATGCCAGTAGTAAGTTTGGTCCATCTCGATGAAATACTGTATTAGGTTTTTCGATTCTTGCACTTCTGATTATGTGCTCCAGAGCTAAGTTAAAGAGTTGTGGTGAAAGTGCATCTCCCTGTTTTAGTCCATTGTTTATTTCAAATGTCTCCGAATATTGTTATCCAACTCTCACCTTACATCGTAACCGTTCCATACACATCCGTATCAACCTGACTAGTTTTTTTGAAAAGCCAAGTTCCTGCATCCCTGTCCACAGTCTGTCCCTGCATACTATATCAAATGCTTGTTTAAAATCTATGAACATCTGATGAAGCTCACGATCAAACTCCCAGCATTTTTCCATTATCTGTTTTATTGTGAATATCTGGTCAATAGTAGAGCGGCCCGGTCTAAATCCGCATTGATAATCTCCAACGATTTCTTCTGTGTATGTTTTGGTTCTTTCTAGCAGGATGTTTGCAAGGATTGTGCAGGTGGTGTTTAGGAGTGTTATTCCCCTGTAGTTAATACATTGCTTTTTGTTTCCTTTTTGTGTATTGGTACAATAACCCCTTCTTTCCATTCATCTGGCATTGTTTCTTCTCGCCAAATGTCTTGAATTAGCTTGTATATAGAACTGTACAGCGCTTCACCTCCATGTATTAAGCATTCTGCGGTTATACCATCGTTACCTGGTGTCTTATTATTTTTAAGTTTTTTAATTGCCTCTATTACTTCTTCGTATGTCGGGTAATGGTCTTCTATTTCAGCTGTATGTACCTCTATGTTTGATGTATTTCTGCTAGATTACAGCCAAGCCACTCTCTTAAATTTCTCATCCAGGACATTCTTCTACGGCCAGGATTTCTGCGTCCTTGGATTTTTCCTTGCATTATATTTTATAGGAATGTGTACTTTTGTCCTCTGATCAGGTGGCCTAAGTATTCAAGTTTTCTCTTTTTTATATTCATTATAACTTATAACTTCTTAATCGTTATTTATTCTCCGTATTACCTCTTCTTTTTTTTAATTACAAAAAAAATACAAATGTTTGATATAACATCATATTATTCTGTTATTTTGTCAAATCCTTCTATTAACTATCCTGCTGATATATTTATTTTATTTAATATTTTGTTAACTCTCTCTCTCTCTTTAATCCTGACCCCCCAGGGGAAGTGTAGTCGTCGACGTGATGACGTGTATTGTCCGTCTTCAGAGATCTCTGTCTCTGGTCATTTCTTTTAATTCATGCATAGGTCTTTGGCATATTCCTGTAATTTGATCTATCCATCTTGTTGGGGATCTTCCTCGTGATCTTTGGCCTTCTACCTTTTCTTGTATTATGAGTCTTTCCATGTTTTCTGTGTTTGCTCTCATAACATGCCCAAAATATTTTAATTGTTGGAGATGGACTTTACTAGAGATTCGTTGGCTAACTTTTAGCTCTCTTAAAATTGAATTATTTGTTCTACGGTCGGTCCAAGGAATTCGTAACATTCGTCTCCAACAGAACATTTCAGTAGCGTCTATCTTTCTTCTCTCCGATTGTCTCAGAGTCCAAGATTCACATCCGTAGGTCAGTATTGGGAATATTAAGCAGTTGATCAACCTCATCTTTATCGCTCTTGAAATTTGACAGTCCTTCCATATTTTCGTCATTTTTGCTGTGGCAACTTTTGCTAGATCACATCTACGTTTAATCTCTTCTTGTAATGACCCTGTGTTTGTGATTAATGATCCCAGATATAAGTATGAGCTCACAACCTCGAACCGGTCAATTGTGGTTATGTGTGGATGATTATTGTGTAGTCTATCCACTATCATGATCTTTGTCTTTGATATGTTTAATTGCAGACCAAATATTTGACTTTCGTTTTCGATCAATCTATAAGTTGTATCAGCTCTGCTTGACTATTTGCAAGAAGGGCTGTGTCATCTGCGAAACGTAGGTTGTTTAGTTTATGACCATTTATTGAGATGCCCTTTTCCCATCCTTCAAGTGCTCTTCGCATAATATACTCCCCATATATGTTGAATAATTGTGTCTTGTCTGACACCCCGTTCTGGATGAAACTCATTCGAAAATGTGTCAAGTACTTTAACTGATCCAGTAGTGTGTTCATATAGTTCAGTTATAAGCGTAATTAGATGTTGTATTAGTATACTTTTAGTATTCGCCATAAGTGTCTCCACTTGAGTCTGTCGAACGCTTTACGGTAATCTATAAAACAGATGTATAGTGGGATGTTGAATTCCCTAGATTTCTCGATTATCTGTCTTATATTCAGCAGGTGTTCTCGAGTGCCTCTACCTTTGGTAAATCCAGTTTGCTCTTGTGGAATTTCTCTTTGAAGGAATGTTTTCAGTCTCTCATTGATTATATGTAGCATTATCTTGCTGGCATGGGATATAAGAGAGATAGTTCTATAATTGTCGCATTTATGGAAGCTGCCTTTTTTATGTATGGTCGTTATTGTAGATTTTGTCCAGTCTTCAGGCCATTGTTTGGAATGCCATATTTGGTTACAGAGTAGATGAAGTAACTTTACGCCGGTTTCTTCTGTGGCTTTAAGCATTTCTGCTGTTATCATATCTGGACCTGGTGCTTTGTTATATTTGAGCTTGTTGATAGTCTGTCTTACTTCATTTTCGAGTATATCAGGTTCTTCTTCCTCCTCATCAGAGATTTGGCTAACAAGCTCTTGGCGTTGATCATCTTTATATAGGTCCCTGCAATACGATCTCCATGTCTCTGCTATGTCTTCTCTGTTTGTTCTCAGGGTTCCGGTGTTATCTTAAATGGCCCAAGTTCTGGCTCTGAAGTCTCTTGTCAGGTAGCGTATTTTTCTAAATTTTGTTAACTATTAACTTTATTAAAGGCATTTTATACCAAAATTCAGAAGTATTGATGTTTTTGTATAATTTTCTTTAGTGGCCTGGAGTAATTGCGTTAAATCTGAATTATGTAGTTGATTTGTAAAATGCGATTATCTCGAAAACTGTTAAGTTTTGAAGTTATTAACAAGTATACATTTTTTTATCAAAATAATGTATCTTTAATATTTTTTATCACAAACACCGGTAACTTAAAGAACAAAAAAGTTAAGTGTAAATATATGCCACATATGTGGCATATGTGGCGCAATCTATCAGTTACTTTAACATCTACCTCTATGCATCAAATTATAATTCCTGATATTCAATAGTACCCAGTTATGAATTTTGATTTATAAGTGTTCACAAACATGAAAGTTATAGCGAAAATTAAAATTTTAAATTTTTTAAACACCCTGTATCTTTCTTAATATCAACATTTTATTAAAGCAATTTGGCTTAAATCGTAATATTTTAAAGTGTGGAATCTACGGTTTCTTTTTGTAAAATTACTTAAGGACCACCCTGTATATTTTTATATACTATGTATTTTTTGTGTTGACTTGCTACAAACAATATTTGTATTTGTTGAGTAGTTAAATAAATAAACTCTCTCTCAACTCTCTCTCACTCACTATCTTCAACATAAAAGTATTTTATATCTGTATTCTAGTCTTTCGTGTATTTTACAGGGCAAACAGTTAGTGAAATGAGTGAGCAAAAACATATCGGACTGAGCCAAGACGATAAAATTATTGGTGCATGTTTGCAGGCAGTGGAAAAATATGAAATGGTGGTAAGTAGGGGAAAGTGAGGTAAAATGAGATACTTAACGTTTGAGGCTGTATAACACCGAAACTATGTATTGGAGGCTACTCATATTTTGGCACTGTGAAAACTCATTATTTTTGTATCAAAAGCACAAATAAAGATTTTTTTTATAAATGTATAAAAAAGTTATATGCAAAAATTTGACACCAATACAATTTCCCATTTTACCCCCACTGTGTGGGTAAAACGGATACATAATGGGGTTAAAATGGGGTAGGATGTTTCTATGTTATTTTAATTAATTTTCCCTTTTTTTAAGTTTATTTTTTTTATTTATATGCAAAATACAACAACTTAAACTCAAAAATTCAAAAGGAACGAAAAAGAGCAATTAACTAAATAAGAAGTAACGATGGGTTAAACCCAAAAAACCCAATATTAATAGGAATAATAATACAGAACATTTTTCTTAAATATTAATAGGAATAATAATACCGAACATTTTTCTTAACCTAATCATATCTGCAGTATTCGCAAATAAATACATCATCATCGTGTCAGCTCATGCACAAGCCTCATGTCCCCATTTTTTACAATTGTATACAGCCTTCTCCTTTTTTGTCTGAAGAATATCTAGTGTTGCAATAGAAGCATTCCTCATCTGCACTACTGACACTTTCATCTTCAGGTTGTATGTTTTTAACCTTCTTGGAAGTATTTTAAAACCGTCTGGAGGTCTTTAAAATGTGACTGCACAGACGTATACTAAAAATTCCATGGACGGCTATGCTGACAAATGTGGTAGTCCTTGAGAGAGCATATGCTGCTCGCGAGCTGCTTGATAACATCAAATGTAGAAAGATGGCCTATTTTGGACACGTAGTAAGGGGAGACCGATATAATATTCTTCAACTTATTATGATGGGTAAAATAGAAGGACGCAGAGGAATTGGTAGAAAGCAGGCCTCTTGGTTGAAGAATATCAGGGAGTGGACAGGAATAAAGAGAGCTGAACAACTCTTTAGAATAGCTCGAGACAGAGACAGTTTCTCCATGTTAATCGCCAACGTCAAGGGGACTTGATAGGGCACGTTAAGAAGAAGGAAGTAAGTATTTTCTTTTTTTACGGTTTTCTGCTTTAGTGACTTATTCATCTTGGTCTTTGAGTTAACATTTTTAACATTATTTTTTGGTTTTCTGGTAGCTAGAGATGTCTCCAATTCTTCTTTATAAGGGGTGTTTGTTAATCTGACAGTTTCACCTTTATTTTTACTCTGTTGCTTAATTTGTTTTTGCGGTGCTTTTGGATATTGAACAACTTGTTCCGGAGAATTGTTCCAGCAAATCTTTAGAAGAATCATTATTTTGTCTTTCTGGAGTAATTTGTTCTTCGACAGACTGGTCATTTTTCGATTGACTTTTTTTGGGGCTGGATATGTTTTCTTCAATATTTGACTCATGATCAGTAGGCAAAGCTGCAGCGAACATCTCTTCGGTAAAAACAGTACGATTCAGTGGGAAAATTCCTGTTTTTTGGAAACCATTACTGGCATTTAATGGAGTAGATGCTCGTTGGTAAGGTTTTCCATATAGGTGAAGCACCTCTGAGATAGTTACACATCGCCCTGGATGATGTCTCAGCCACACTTCTATTTCTTGCCTATAAAATGTACTTAACGGATACATTAAGGGAACATCCAAGGGCTGCATCCTATGGCTAATATGAGCAGGTAAATTATTGTCACTCCATTTTCACGTGCTTTATCAATTATAGCAATATTTTATGCATGGGTTTTATGGCCATCCAAGATTAAGAGAGATGGGATTTCTTTTGATGATTGAGTGTCATGAAGAAAATGGTCAAACCATTGTTCAAACAAATTAAGCTGCATCCAACCAGATTTATCAGTAACGACTAAGGTTCCTGGCGGTGCACCCTCTGAGGGTGCTTTATACGGGAATTATGATCATAGGAGGAACAAATATTCTACTGGCACTCATGCAGGTTACAGCAGTAGAAAGCTCCCCTCGTTCTGCAGATGTTAGAGTACCGACCTGTTTTCTACCCTTGACAGCAATCATTTTTGATGGACGACCTTGGACTGTTGTAATCCTGGTTTCGTCAACGTTAAAAATACGGGAGGGTGGAAAGTTCATTTTTTTTGAAGAGGCTCCAAACTGCCAAAAAATGATGAAACTGCTTCCTTGTTAAAACTTCCGAGCACGTGCAGCTGATGTTGCTTCAAGCAAACGGAGCGGAAGTTTATTCCGTTTCAAAAAAGCGCGAAGCCATTCCCACCCAGCCAACTTGGTGTTTTTGTTGAAATGATGTTACCCAAGCTACGAATGGAATGAGTTGTAAGACCGAACATCATAGTTTCCATATTCTTTGCATATGTTACCAATTGCTGCTCCAACTCCAGAGGAAATGTAGGCAGTCGGCTCTCAAGTAATTTAGAAAGTCCTGTTGCTGATTTATTTCTTCCTTTGGACCTTCTTTCCAATGTTGATTTTGGAACTCCATATTTTTTGGATGCTTTTAGAAATCCACAAGTTCCTTTGTCTAATGCTTCCAGAGCGCTGGCCATAGATTTTTCAGACCATTTTGACGCTCAGTCTTTCGTTGGTAATTTCTAGGCATCTGAAACAAAAATAATCCTTCTAAGCTTATTCTTATATTACCCTAAACAAGCTTGAATATTTTTTGCTTTTAAAAGTCTTTTATTAAAAAAAAAATATGATTTTGATGTAACTATAGAATTTTCAAGGGGTAAAACGGGATATCCCATTTTACCCCACCCGGTTGTTTTCTTTACCCCACATGCTGTTTTAAAAAAACTTACCTTGTATGCTCAATATGAGTTGGTTCACTCACAAAACTTATTCACATTATGCGTAGGGCACTACACATTATCTGAGTTCAAAAATTATTTCAAAAACTTGTTTAAAACAAAAGTTACAGCTTAAAACGTGGGACCCGAAAATTACATCAGGCACCTGTCAAAACACATATTTTGGTCTGAGCACGAGGTCGGGTGTTTAAACTAGTAGACGAGTCAAGTTAGTAGAAAATAAGCGTTTTTTCGTCACAAGTGTATAGACGGGTTTGACAGTTGAAATGGATAATATGAGATATTACAAAAAGACCCTCATCTAGGGATTCATGAATTTTTTAGTGGAACTATTTTTAAATAAACAATTAAGACGTCAATATCATTATTTTGCCCATAACTTATAAACTTGTCTATTTAGAGATTTGACGTCCACAGACGAGTTGTTAAGAAAGAAAAAATACACAAAATGGGATATACTAAATTAAAATCGGTTAATAAACAAAAAAGTTATTGCATAATAACCAAGCAAAACGGCTGTTTTTGATTATTGTTAATAACTCTTTTAGTAATCAATAAAATTTATTTAAATGTATCTGAACTTAAAGATCTCATCGTGTTCGAAGTGTGTGCGAAAGATAGGCTAGATCCGTCAAATAGTTTTTGCACAATTTAATTTGTTTATAAGATTTTTTGAAAAATGCACAAATTTCTAAGGCCGGTCCAGATAATTTGACTGAATGGATCTTAATATACCGGGGCTTATTTTCTTCGATGAGACATATATTATTATCCTGTGGAAAAAAAAGTTAAAAAAAATTACGTTTATGTACACAAAATGATTTATTAATAGCACTTTTTAAGTTTATAAACATTTACAATAACTCCGTACTATTTAGTTTAAATTAAATGGCAATGAAATATTCGGTAGACGGGTTTAAAAACACAATTTCAAAAAAAAAGGTCCTGCGACCATTAGGAGCCGAGTTAGTCCTTTTTTTTTTTTTAAAATCACTGTTACGTCAATTAACAACATTAAGGGCTGAAATTAACCAATCTTTTAGAAGAAAAGTCAAAGTTATTCACCAAATGTTTAGAAAAAAAAAATAATTGAAAATTGTTTAAACAGGAGTGTTGTAAACGAAGAGTACTTTGCGTTCCGACTAGAATGGAAGGAGTGGGGATTGCCGATTGCACACAAGCCGCGCTCTCCAAAAAAGTCGAGCGCACGGTTTCAAAATAGAGTGCTTGGAATAAAATGACATATCTCGGGTTCTAGTGGACCAAATTTGTTCTTTTTTTTTAAACTGGGGTACAACGTTAAAATAATAACATTTAACGTACTTTCATTGCAAAATTATTCAAAACAAAGCAGCTAATGACTACGGAATGTACAAACTTTTTCTTAAGTCTTCTTTTTATTGTTATTTTTCTATTTATTTATTTCAAATATGATTATATTAAATAAATGTTATTGAACAATAAAGTAAATGAACATTTTGAATAATGTTTACTAAAAATTTATTAATGAAGTAATAAATTAATTTTATGTTATTACAGAAGTTGAAATTTTGTGTAGTGATTTTTTAAAATAATTTAATTTACTGTAATTTTCTACGCTTATTTTCTATATCGTCACTGCTACTACTATGTAAACATTCATCTTCACTTTCATCTTCAATTTCACTTGTATTATAACTTTCCTAAATCATTTCATTTTCATTGTCGCTATTCTCATCAAACCCAGTTAAATACATTTCATCAATTATCTCTTGTTCATCTGTTGTATCGTTTTCTTCTTCATTAATAATTTCATAAATATTAGTACATTGAATTTCTATGCATGTACCGCACATGTCTGTACATTTGAAGCCATTTTTGCGACAGGTACATGTTTTAGTTTTGCATCCTTTTTTGCAATTGCATTTGATTGAATTAGCCAATTCTTCAGGAACCATGGGATCAGATGAATATATAGGTGTGAAGTTCTGATCAATTATTTTCCATCCCCATTTTGTAGGGTCTTTCTTCACGCCCAACCATTCGTGTACTTGAAGGTATACTCTATAACTATGCTGCTCTGCAGTACCCTTTGTAGGTGGCAACTTTTCCAATTCAACGCTTGTATTCAAAGCAGCTTTCTTATTCTCTTTCTTTAATTTGAAATGCGATCTTATAATTTTAACGTGAAAAT